TACACTAATTCTTTCTCATGAACATGACATATAGACTGCCCATTCTTGATTGAGATTATAACCACAGGTATAGAGGTTAGGATTTACAATATATTTTGTGGGGGCATAATTCCTTCCCATAACAGTAGGTGTACCTACTAAATTTGTTAATTTCCTAGTGCCTTGTTATGTCTTCATTCTTTTTTTTCCCCCTCTCATTCTTACTTACCCAATGTTTTATGTCTTCTCCTTTAGATGCAGAAGCTGTGACCTTGGTGGCCACCCGATCTAGGAAGCAGATGAGCAGAGACATCTGTGTCCATACCTGGCCATGCTCCTACTATTTAGAACCTGAGAAACGATGGGTCTCTGGGAAACTTTCATTAACCTCTCTCTCGCTAAAATTTGCAACGGATAAAACTGGTACAGTTCTGGCTAGCTTTCCCCTTTCTAGTATAATCGAGATCAAGAAAGAGGCTTCCCACTTTATCTTCAGTTCTATCACCATCCTGGAAAAGGACCATATCAAGCACTGGTTTAGTTCTTTACAGCCAAGTCGAAATGCTGTTTTCAATATCATCGAGCATTTCTGGAGAGAGCTACTGTTGTCTCAACCAGGAGCTACTGTTCAGGCATCATCCACCCCCTTGACCAAGGGGAAAGAACTGACTGGTTTGATGGCATGTTCCCAGAAGCGGTTGGAAGATACAGCAAAAGTTCTCCACCATCAGGGTGAGCAGTTTGATAACATCATACAAGGACTGGACAAGATTGAATCTGACTTGGATGTGGCTGACAGGTATAGGCTATCACTTTTATTGTCACTGTAGCTTGACATTTGGATTACTAGTGTTTTGTATTTTTTCCATTGTTCTCTATAGAGCACGCATGCAGCGTTTTAAAAACTTTTAAAGTATGTAGTGAGGATTACTTATTTAATAATTAAGTAAGCCAGCAAAAAGTAAATTGCCATTAACTTCATTTTATATAGGGGGAAATTGAGGTGAAGTCAAGTCAGGTGCACTAAGAAATGGCAGCATGGTGATAAGTGATATGGCTCATTGACAACCTAACTTTTCCCAACATTTTGGCCTTGAGACCCTTTTGCACTTAAAAATGCAAGACTCCGAAGTGCTTTTGTTTATGTGGGTTGCCATATTTACTATACTCACAAATAGAAACAGAAAATGTTTATTGATATCAATTTAAAAAAACAATTATAAAATTATAAATAGCAAAAAAATAACATTTTTAATGAAAAATAACTTTTCCTAAAGCAAAAAGGTTTTAGTCAAAAGAGTGGTTCCCTGTTTTAGATTTTAAAAAATCTCTTTACTAGAAGACATCTGGATTCTTTTATCTGATTCTGTTGTAATCACCTATCATGGAGCCTATAAGGTCCCAAATTATTTGGCATCAAAAGGCCTACCATCCCCTTTTTAGAAAAAAAAAAAAAAATCTCAGTTCTCCCTTGACAATTAAAAAGTTGTGTTCCATAGCCCATAGTCCAGGATAAAGTATAGGTCTCTGTCTTTATAGCTCTGCTGGATTGCTCCAGCCTGCCCCTACCAAGGGGTGGTATCACCACCCCATGGCAAACACTGATGTAGTTTGTAGGAAGCTGCCAGTGTGTGCTCATGAGAGAATGAGAGTGGAAAAGGCAAACAATCTCTTGGTATTATTCCAAAATCATTTTGACCTCCTGGACTCTGGTGCAATGGGTTACAAGTTTGAACCCACTAGCTTCTCTGAGAGAGAAAGATGAGGCTCTCTGCTCCTATAAAGATGTATAGCCTTGGGAATCAATGAGGGTAGTTGTACCCTGTGCATGAGGACTCTGTGATTCAGAGCTGACTCAATGGCAATGACTGTAGTTTGGGATACCCGAAAGGTTCTTAAAGACCCCACCTGCCCAGGGTTCTGAGATTACACTTTAAAAACCGTGTACTTTGAATGTCCTAATATGGATTTATACCTAAGCTGGGAGAATTATTTGGGAGGCTAGGAAATGTAGTGGTGTCTTTGGGGTTGTAGTGAGCTCTCAGCACCGAGAATTTGTC